CTCTCTCTCTCTGTCTCTCACATACACACTCTCTCACATTCTCTCTCTCTCTCTCTCTCTCTCTCTCTCTCTCTCTCACACACACACACACACACACACACACACACACACACAATGAATGTGCCACAGTTTCTATAATGCTGGTTTTACTAAAAAAAAAATTGTTTTTTGAGTTGTTAACCTACTACATTGGAATGTAAAATAAGACAAACGTATTAGAATAAACCAAAAGCTTACATTATAGATTAGAATGCCAAATGTACATAAATTTTAAAAATAAGCACAAGATTTCTAAAACCTGGTATTCTCTAGAATTTGAGTTTGATAAATAACTCACATTTTCTTCTCATAAGTTACTTCAGTAGAATAGCTCAGTGGATTAAAGCACCTGCAAGCAGGTGCAGGGGCTGGGGTTTAATCCCCAGGCCTGCCATACTGGCCTTGCCCCTGGTGGTGCGCACCCGTAATCACAGCTCTTGGGAGGCTGTAAACAGGTGGATCACTGAGGTGGATCATGAGTCTGATCTAGTAGTGAGACCCTGAACATCCTATAGACCCTTCACTAAAATACAGGGAAAAAAAAAGATACTTAGAAAAAATTGGGAAGAACCAAGGTACAGGACTCCATGAGGTGAACTGGTCACACAAGGTAGTGTAGTTTCTGCTAGTAAAGCTAAAGTCATGTCAGATAAGTTTACTCTCTGCTCATATTTGATTCATTGTTAAAAAAGCATTAAACTGTAGCATAAAATGAAATTATAATATTAAGCTAATGTGCTACAAGATCCTTCTTTTGTAACAGAAGTCAGATGATACAGACTTTGTCTTGTTTACCACACTGACTGTCATTTTTTGATACATGCTTTCCTAAAGCACAAGATAACTTCAGTGGTCCGTTGTTGTTACAAAAGATGTTTCATCCTTTTCAGTGCTGCATCACATCCCACTGTATGGAGTACCAGAATTTTATTTCTCTTCCCCCACCTTGATGCCAGATTTTGGTTATGTGGGATCGTTCTATTTCTTCTTTGTGTTCTAGTGCGGTTGATTTCACCATGGGTAATACTATCTCATATTTTCAACCCATAAGGATGTTTTCTCACACGTTTTTCAAAGCCAGAGTTTATTAATTTTATCAATCTTTTGTTTTTGCTGTTCAGTATCCAAAATACTGTCTCCAGGATATTTTAATTTACCTTCCTTTTATTCTGAAAGAGAAAGAACATCTCTCCACATTTCAGTTATTATTATTTCCATATTTTGGGAGTGTCTTCTTTTATTGTTTGCTAGAACATAGGTCCATTAGCTGGCACAAGAAACCCAGAAATATACTTTAAATAACATAAAAGTTTCTTCTCACATAATAGCCTAGTAGTCCCAGCTAGTCGGTTAACTGATTTCCATAGTAATTTAGAGACTCTGATTCTGTAAATTAGGTTATTCTGTCATCCTTTGGTTTGTCCTTTCTTCAGCTGACACATCTGGGTTATCTTCAACCCACAGTCCTTCTCTTCCATGAGAAAGACTAGAAGAAAAATGTCAAAAGTAAGCAATTTGCCATTAAACAAGTGAGAAAGAAGTTTTACACATTACTTAAGCTCACATCATTTTGGCAGTGACGTAGGTCACAAGTACCATGCATAACTGTAAGAGAAGCTGTAAAGTACATGTTCTCTAGCTGGGTAGCATATGCCCAGCTAAGAATCTGTTCCTATATGAAAAAGAAAAAATAGATTTGGAGATTTAAATAACAGCCCTGAGCATTATCGTTTGCCCACATTTCTAGAGGAGTTCATATCCATTTCTCTTAATTTATAAGATCTGATGTATATTAAGGATTGTTTTTCCCTTTATATAAATATGTTTCCAGTATGTTATTTGTCTTTTAATTTTTGAGGTTTTTTTTTTTCTATGCAATTTTAATTATGCAATCAAATCCAATAGTCTTTTGTTAAGATTTTATTGTTAGAGCGCTGGACAAATAGCTCAGCGGATTAAAGCTCCTGCTTCGCAGATGCAGGGGCTGGGAGTTTGATTCCTGGGCATGCTGTGCCAGCCCTGCCCTTGGGGCATGAATGAGACCAGGTATAGTGGGTGCGCCTGTAGTCTCAGCACTTGGGAGGCTGTAAACAGGAGGATCACTAGGATTCTGATCTATGCAGTCAGACCCTATAGACTTTGTAGACCCTGTTCTAAATAGAAAAATTTTTAAAAAAGACTTTATTGTTACAGACTTCTTAGGTTCACAGCAAAATCACAAAGGTCAAGATTTCCCATCTTCCCTGCCTTAACATTTCTTGTGTGCCTGGTCATCCTTTTCACTGTACTAACCTGTAGCAACTACTGATCTTTTAAGTTTTGCCTCTGACAAGATGCAAAATAGTTGGAATCATACAGTGTGTACCCTTTCCAGATTAGTTTATTTCATTTAACAATATGCAGTTAGGATTATTCTATGTCTTCTTGACTTGATGACTTATGCCTTTTATGTGCTGAATAGTATTCCATTGTCTGAGTGTGTCATTGTTTATTTGTCCATTTATTTATTTATTATTTGTCTTAGCATTCTTGTTGAGACAAAATATACAATGCCCACAGTTAAAGGGGAAACAGTTTCTTTAGCTCAGTTTGTAGAAGTTTCAGTCAGTGATCAGATGGCTTCAAGGTAGGGTGGCATATGGCAAGGGCCAACAGTTCATGGCAGCTAAAGACAGGAAAAGTGAGCAAGCAACCTTAATAGTGTCTTTCTGCCCCTTTTATACTCTAGCTAGATTGCTGTGATAGGACTGTGCCAACCTAATTAGTGAGCTGATCACACACACCCTTAATCCCAGCATCACACACTGTAGATTGAGCCATCTCTGAAAAAACATGACGACCATATGAGGCTTGGTGGGGACGTCTAGACACAGACCATACCACCTCCTGAGGGACAGCTATGTTACTTCTAAGTTTTGGAAATTATGAATAAGCTGCGATAAACATCTATGTGCAAGTTATTCATAGGCATAAGTTTTCAGCTCCTTTGATTTTTCAACTAATGAGTGTAATCATTGGATCATATGGTAAGATTATGGTTAGTTTTTTAGGAAGCTGCCAAA